CTACTTTGTAACTTTATAAAACAAACAAAAACCCCTAGGTAATAACAATAATGTTTAGAGTTCAGCTTTCACCACAGAATTGAAATGTTAAGCAACATAGTAAGATAACCACAATCATAGTCGTTCTTTATATTCAGTAAGAAGAAACCAGAGGGACCAAGGACAACAACAACAAAAAATCCTTAGATGCATTGCCAAAGAAGTCAGCTATTAACCAATAACTTCATGTTCCTACACACCAGATCTGCATAGTACGGAGGCATATTTGTTACATGTGTTAGCAGCTGTTTCTCACACTCAAACACCCATTACATTCAAATCCTGACTTCACCTCACAAAGTAGAAATGATGTCACATTCACACTTTAAACAGATTTTAAATAGCAGATTCTGTCAAGTTTACGCAATTTGTGTGCATGTGTCACATGCAAAAAAAGACAGATCACTTTGCCTAATCAGTCTTCTGTTTAAGTCAACTACTGAGCATGCAAAATGAAAAAAGGATTACAAATATTTTTCTTCTCCAGAGGAAATTACTTGCCCTTCATTAAACAGATTTTTCAAAAACTGTGAGGAACATTAAATTAGTCCCATCTCAATCACTTTTTGGGAAACAACGATTTCTAAGAATCAGCTGTACTATTTTTATACTAATTATAATAATTACACTTCAGTATAACCAAAGATGTGAACACTTTCTTCTCGTTAAATACACATGCACAAGAAGTATGACGGTAGCTACTTAATTTTCTGAAAAGGAGAAAAAAGGCGAGAGTTTTATCATTGGTGGGTAGTTCTGCCACAGGTTAGTAAATACAAGAACCACAATTACACAGAATAAACTCATAAGTGTATAGATTTAATTAATTGAATTAATTATATTCCCATTTACACATATGACAAAAAATAAAGCAGCGTTCAAAAAAAGAAAAATAAATTGAAAGTTACCTCAGAAACAGGTACATTTTCTCCAAGTTCAGATGTGTGTAATGCCAGTAAACCAATCACTCGAGCAACTTTGGCACGTCTGCATATCAAATACATTTTTTGAAGGTACAGAAAAACTAATTCAAAAATGCCACAAAACCAATTATATCTTCTTATATTTTATACAGATTGCTAAGGGCAGGAAATATTTGAAGTGCTGTTTACAGCTCAGATTTTCCTATTTCTATTTTCTTTGTATCATCAAATTATTTCAGTATTTCAGCTCAATTTAGAAATAAATTAATGCATAAAGACATTTCCTTCTTTAGCACTGCAGAATGAAGATTCTTTTGTTTGTTACAGTTTTACTAATCACTTATGCTCATATTCAGCTTTCTTATAACACAGAAAACCCATAGATGATTTTAAAGATTTCAGTATAGCTGATGAAACAAATTAAGTCTGTATCAGCAAATCAGTTTTAAATGTTTCATTACAGAAAAAATAAGAATAATAAAATCAAAACTTATGAAACAAACAGCAGAGGGCACTACCACACTGAAATATTTCTGACAGGCATTGTTAAAAAAAAGCTACCATTACAGTTATTTTACTACTGTTATGGTATGGGTTGGTTTATTCAGTGATTTTAAGTAATGCTATTTGATATACTACATTCTATAACCTCCAGCTAAAATTGTAGAGATTTTTTATAATCTTTGGTCTTGTGAAATAGCAATACATTAATTCAATGCTGAAAAAATTCAGTGTTACATACACCATCATACTGCCAGTCAGGTATCACAGCAGTCTGACAGGCTAAAACACTCCTCAAATAGCCTGTTACAGAATATACTTAATGAAATTCAGTGATATTTCTGTATTTGAAAAAAATAATTTAAAATAATAGTTACTTACATATCCCAGTTGGCAGCTGCACGCAGCTGCTGTATCGATATAGGAAACTATAGTTTAAAGAAGATAAATAAACATTAGTGATTTTCAGTAATCTGACATGTCCCAATGATAAACTAAAAAAAAAAAAATCAAAATATCAGTAATTTCATAAAATGTATTTGGATAACATTTGCAAAAAGTATTACCATAGACAAATACTGTAGATATTGTCCAAACGTTGATCAGGGAAAAAAAAAAAAGGCTGAGAGTAAAAATACAATTTCTTTCTATATTCTTGCCTTAAACTAAACTGCAAAACATATATCAGTGGGGTTTTTTTTAAAAAAAAACACACTTTTTTTGTTATGAATAACAGTTCGCAGAGGAAAAAAACTCTGATACTTTCATCTACAAAGACAGAGATCATAATATAGTATTACCCAACAAATACTTAAAAAAAGAGATGTATTTTGTGAGAACTGACAAAAGTAGTGGCAAATACTAGAATAATGAATGAACTGTTAACACACATAATCAGCCACTTAAGAACCAAACCCTATCATTACTAACCCATTTCTAAACCGTTCTGCTAATTGGCAATTCAGTTGTCAGATTATCGTCCTGAAAAAAGTTATCCAATGTTAACAGAACACACCTTCCAGCAATTGTCTCCTGTTTTCAACAGGAATTCTATGGCATAAGACCTATCGTTCCTTCCAACCTGAATATTCTTCATTGAATTTTTCTGGCAGTGCAATTTTGCCCTTAATATCACTATATCCAATGATGATATGTGTAAGAATAAGATATAGGTGCATTAGCACAAATTTAGGAGAACAAGAAAGTTTACTTTTTATTAAATAAACTGAAAAGCGTGTATCTTGAGATAGCCTCTATGATGCTTTTAAATAATGTGAAAAATAAGTCTCTTTCTCTTCCACACAAGCAATACTCTGAAAAATAAGTTAAACTACTACAGAGGATACTAGGAAAATTGATTGTCTAGTAGCAAATGGTTCTTGAAAGGTGAAACTACCATTTAGGTATACACTATAACAGACTCTTCAGAGAGCATGCTCACTCTTTGAAGCAGTGCTTAATGGAAGTTTTACTGTATGCTCTTTAGAAAGTTTTTCTTGCTATCCTTTACAGACGTATGGCAAATTAAACTGATTTAACAGCTCAAACATGAACATTTTCAGTCTTCTCTGTCACTTAAGGATTTACGAAGACTAATATTTCATCATATGTTATTTCACACTCTCCATCAAGGTTAGTTTTTTCTCCATCCGTTTTACTAATACAACAAATCTATATGTAAATATATCTGAAATCTAAGAGAAAGAACTAGTTTCCCTCAGCTTTTTTAAAACACCTGACAAGGATTTTAGTAACTTTTTCATTATTTTGTACTTAATTTGCCATACTATTTTTGTCAGCACACCAATGATTTCTTGAAATATAACTAAAAGCAGCTGATTTTTGCTACAATAGCAAGTATGTAAACCATATTGATTCCTTCAAAGCTTTACTATTTACCAGCTGAGAGTTAATTAGCCTGCTTGCAACATCCTTGTGGACAGCCACCGTACACAGATAACACAGCAAGTTCAGCTTAGAACGTGCTGCTCCTGTATTCTTCTCAGTGGAATCAAGTAGTGAACACACTTGTTGCAAGAAGTCATTCCAGTCCATGTCTTTCATACACGCTAACTTCTCAGCTAACCATAAGAAGCAAACAATTAGTTAAAGATAATGGATCTTTGACATTGCTTTAACACACGAGAAAGTAACATCAATAGGAATAAACAAGTTCCAAAGTTCGAATCTAATTATAATTTTAGTACTTAAAATACAAAACAAACATATTATAATTCATGTCTGAAGATTATAGAAATCAAAAAAGAAGTCAAAAGAGAAACAAAGCATAAAAATGTAGCAATAAAAGCCACAAAACGTTTTTGAAAGCACAATCCTGCTAAGTCCTTGGATCTCATTTAAGTAAACATTTATTGGCATTATATTTAGGAAAGGTAGTAGTTGTTGTTCTTAATCGTTACTAATTCTTAGTTAGAAAGTGCAATTTCATACAGAGTAAATTTGAGATAGGAACTAAGGAAAGTCAGCGAAATCTCCTCAGAATCAATAAACTGACAATGCGTATAGTTACTCGTATAGGTAGGTATCCGTCTAGTTAAGCCTTAGTAATATCAGAACATAGATGACTTCAGGAGTAACAAAAAGAAGTCAAGTCACTAGGACGATTAACACAAATCCTGTGGTTCAATTCACTGACCACTGTACATGAATATAGAATTTTCAAAGACTTCCTTATCTTGATATCTGCCTTATCTTGACTTAATTTCACTCTAGAAGCCAAACATTCCCTCAGTTTCAGTTAGTTATTTATTAATAACTCATCTGCCATCCTGATATGCTCCAGTACAGAATATTTAAGGGCATGTCTTCTGTCTTTTACTCCAATTTTACACTTAAGTAACAACACTAATGAAGGCAATTATAATTTACATCAGTAAAGGTGAAAAGAAGTTTGGATTTCAGGTATTTATCTTAATTTTTCCACACTGTCTTTAATCATTACTGACAAGTAGCATCAAATTCAATATCTTCAAAAACAATCAGAAAGTTGTTTAGAAAAAAGCTACAACCTGAAAGTGTTACGACCACAAAAAAAAAACCCAACCTGTCCTATATTAAATAAATACAGACAACAACAGTTAAACATATCAGACCATTAGTCTGATAATTTAGCTACTTACATGCAATATAAAATAAAATACCACCCTTTTAGGCACTTGAAGCTGATCATTTTTGCCTAGGATGTTAGCCAAATTAAAAATATTTTGTGTTACTACAATCTCGCCTGGGAGACTCGGGGACATTGCGTTCCTTTCCAACTGTAAAATTTCTTCAACAAATTAACTCTCCAAAACACATTTTATAGAAAGAAAAAAGGCACTTTTATATCTAGGAAAAGGTGCTATGTGAATTCTAGAAGGACTACATATCTGGCTGACATCTCTCTTCAAGCACATTAAAGTGTAATAATATTTCCTTAAATTAGAGATTTTTCAGGGGAAGAAATGTTACACTCATGACAATGAGCAGTCTTTTGTTTTCAGAAATAACAGCAGCCTTTCTAAACATTAAAACAACAACAACAAAAAAAAACCACCACACAAACCAACCAAACAAATCCCAAACAACTCTACACGACCTTTTGGGACATGATTCCCATAACATTTCATGATTAACGGTGGGACTGGCAAGGCTGCCTACTATCATGGTTGATCCACACAGCATATTTTAAGATCATGTTTTCATTTGCTTCTCTGCCTTTGTCAAATTTTAATCTATTTGGTTGAATATTGCAGTTAAAGTATCTCAGTCGTTTACACAGAATAACACAGGGAAAAAACATGGTGTTTTTCCCACACTAAAACAGAGTTGACTGTGTTATTTTAAAAGCTTTTGAGCATGGGCTTGTAACTTAAGAAGGCAGAAGCGAAAGGGAGGGCATGTAAGTGTTAGCGCTTGAAAAGTCTACTCAAAATTGGTCTAGCTAAATCATTACACATGAAACTTATGTTTCATGTGTAATGATTACAGATTCAGAAAAGTTATCAAAATTACAGATTCAGAAAAGTTATGAGTTCTCCAATTGTCACAGCTCATCGTCTACAAAAGGAGGCTATACATCTTGTGGTAGCGAGTTACATCCTCATATGCAGAACTTAAGCTTTAACAACTTGAGCAGATCAATACCTGAATATGTTGGTATATGTAAAGTTTTCAAGTCACATTTAACTGGCACTTGCTTCATTATCTGGAAAATAAACAAACACATTACAACTAGTTTCAACACATTTCTGGAAATCTCTAAGTAGCTGAACAGGAGAACACAAAGATGCAAAAATTGTACAAGATGGGTGTACAAACCACTGCTTATTACTGATGCACTTTCCATTGTTTTCTGGTATGTATTTCTTCCAAGCAGATATTTGGGATTTAAGTCTATGTTTTTAATATAATGAAATTGTTAGTATTTCCAGTTAAGTAATTTTTTTTTTTAATGGGAATACAAAACGATGGGATTTTCTCAGTTCACATTTCTATCTTGCTTGTATGAGACAAAATACTTGCATTTGGGTTTCAAAATCTACAGAAAGGAACTATGCAGCTCAGAGCTTATTAAATGTTCTAGCAATTCATTGCCATACAGTAAATACATATATATACACACTAGATCATGCTAGAATTTAAAAAGTCGTATTATCACCAACTAATCATTCGTAAGGTATGGGTTTTTTTCCCCACAACACATCATATTCTGATACATCATCAAATTGGATGACTGCTCAGTGACCAAGCATTTGAGTGTGATTTTCAGTAACTAAAGCATACAAAAAAAGATTACTATATACTGGAATTTAGCTTTTGACAGATGAAGCCTAGGTGTAACTAGAGAGTTATCTTCTAAAAAAGGTCTTCAATTCCACAGATCTGCATAACACAGGAAAATTTTACAATATAAGCTGACATTTCAGCTTTTAAAACTCTGCCAGCATCTAGTAAATCCCCTTCCACGAGATTGGATTGCAAGCTCTTCAGCTTTACCAGGTGTCAGTATCATCCTTTAGTCTGAAGATTGCTAAATATGCAATGACTCTGATTACATGTCCCTGGAATTTAGTAAGCTATTTTGCATTAATTCTGAGTCTGGCACTTCATGGTAAGGAGATTAGTCTCTATATGCACATTAGTATGCACACTTACCCCTAATCTCATCCCCTATGCTTGCAGTAAGAAGAGAGGCAGTGAAGGGCTAAGGGTTCAAGTCAGAGTCCTGAGATAGAACCAAGAATTTACAGAGGTGGCATTCAAATGCATCATTACCTTTGAAATTCTCCACTGGCAACAATGTCCCCCACCCCAAACACACTGAAACAGTATTGTTAGGTAGTTACTTCATCTAGCTGTAGAAGATTTTTAATTTTTGAAAGTGTTAGGAATTCCATTCAAACAAACAAAAAGATGGTTAAAATAAAACAATACAGCAACTAAAGGCTGTAAGGCTTTCCTAATGAGCTAGATTATCGCTTCCAATGAAAAACGTTGCATATCCTGCATTTGTCACCTTCTGAGTAAAGCTGCTAAAACGACTTTGTTTTTTGCACTGAAATAAAAGGAAGACTCAAGGTGCTCTTGCCTGTCATTCATTCTAACAATATTACACATGTGCCCATAGAAGCACATTACACTGTCATTGCAGTGCAGAACTCTGATTCTTTTTTGGTCCTCCCTTTGCTGTCAAGTGTCAATCTCTGCTCAAGAGATTCATCACAGACTGTTATGACATTAGAATCCATAGGATAGAAATTGGACGGACATTTCTTGTAACTTCAGGTCTTCTTTTCCAGAGAAAATATGTTCACATTTATGAAAAACTTTATCATGTCTAAAGTTTAGTTGTTCTGTAAAGGTGTAACTCCTAATCTAGAAGGCTTCACACATGGCCTTGTTTTGAGTATACCAAAAAGCACACTCAGTGTTGTTTTCATTAAAGCAATAGATATCAAAGCACTTTATCAGAAAACAAATCTACAAAAGCACTGAACACAGCATTTAGTAGTCTGTATTTCTTGTAAGACATTATTTAATATTAGTATTCAATCCCAAAATAACTCAGTTCTCCAAATTAGCAACACAATAGGATTATAAGAGACTGCCAAAAAGTTGCAGGAGAGTTTGCCAGATGACTGGGTGGAACTGCTTTAAAATGAGAACTATAAAACACAGGAAAAGAGTTTCACCCTGATTAAAGATTTATCTGCAAAAATAGCCTCACCCACAAGTTCCTGAATCTTATATTTTATTTTGCTATACCTTTGGATTGTCAATGATTGGTGTTACGATAAGATCACATTCAGTGTAAATTAACTCCTTCAGTGTTGACTCCATATCCTGCTGACTTGAGCGTATATTTTTAGCCTAGAACAAGAACAAAGTTTTTAAAAAACCTGTTTTGCATAAAAAAGAAAATTTATGTTTCATCTCAACATTATACCACACAGTTTGGCTATACACATATTCTAAATTACTTTTTATTTTCATAGTAGCAGATAGGGACAACTAAAAATTATGGTAAAGAAACATGTTGGAAGAACAGGCACTTTCAACCTCAGTTTGGAAAAGTAGACTGAGAAGAAAGACGACAGCATTATCCCTTTTGTACACTGGAAAAAAAAAAAAAGAGACTAAGCATCTTAACTCTTACATCTGAAGTTCCGCAAATAATTTTTTTTTTAAATTACTTGCACACTGTAGTGCTTTCCTGTTACAGTTATGGAAGGATGGAGAAGAAAGTTGACTTTGTCACAGACTCCAGATTAAAATTCTAACTATAAAGATAACACCATCCTTCAATATTATTTTTCTACTCACCTTTTTCAAGCATGAATCTCTTTGTGGAGAATTTTGGATTGGGGCAGTAGTAGCATCACTTACTTCTACAGCAGTGCTAGTTCTAGGAGTGGGACGAGAACTTGAAACAAGAAAGAAAAAAGAAAAAAAAAGAAAACAAGCAACAAAAGTATAGATTAACTTTCACCACAAACTATTTTGTTGGTGTTATTCTTTTGAAACTTCCATGCTGTACAGTAAACTTTCAAAGTTGACAAACACAAATGATGCTATGCCTGCTCCATCAACTAAATATGAACTTCCTGTCTCTAAATATGTCCCAACAAGGTTAGGATTTGTTTGTCAGTTAGAAATGCAAAGGACTGGGTGGTTTCATTGTTTGTTGTTTGGGTTTTTTTTCTTAAATGAATGTAATTTGATTATTTTCTCACCCATAGTCAGTTCTCCAAACCAGATGCTAAAATACAATTATCTTGATTCCTAATAACAAATGACATACAAAGAGAATTAACTTGACAAAAAAATGTAATTTATTTCATGTTATTCTCTTCTGACTGTCAACTCTTGGCTAGGTAATGGGAATTAAAAATGGCCTGATTCTCATGTATGAATGTGAACTAGGTTTAATTTCTAGTTTTAATTTTTAAAAAATCTTGTTTGCTAATTACAAAATGAAGAGAGACCAGAACACTTCAAATTTGCAATTTTCATAAAGCTGCTAGTGAACTTATTTTTTGTAGTATACAGTAATTTAAATCAAAATGTTTAAAATCAACTTTAGAATTAAATTAGTTTCCTGGCCTGCCAATTTTAATAACAACTTCAAATGAATGTGTTTTCTTGATTAGCAGAAAGTAATACACACATTTAGCTGCAAATCAGTTCTGTTTATTAGAAAAAGCTACTAAATTAAAAAAACAAACATCAAACAAAATTAAAGATACTCAAGAAAATCAACAATCAAATGACTAATATAGTTGTTCTCATTCTTATATTGTCAAAGAAGCATCTTTTATCTATCTTCAACAGAAACAAACTTAAAAGATAAAATGAAGGGGTGCCAAAATATTCCCTACTAGCTAGATTAAACTACCTAAATTGTCCTAATTCCTATGGTAAAAAAATATATCAGGATCTGCTTGGAAGTTTAAGCAGTCTTATTTCCTAAACAAGAAAAAAAAAGTGTGATTTCTAGCTAGGAGGCTAAACAAATTATTCTAGGTTTTCACATGCTTCAAAATATGTAGTTTTGTTAAATATATTTTTTTCCAAACCTGATTGGCTTTCGTATGTGTTTGAGAGACAGAGAAATCTTTGCTACTTTTCCAGTTCTCAGCTGGTTTCTCAGTTTAAAACAAGACAAGTGATCATTGAATTGATCTAGTTGAAATTAATAAGATCTATTCTCTTTGCACATGTAGAAGAAGTTACTGCTGTCAAAAGCCGACTAACCACTTCAGCAGCTAGGTAAACTCTGGTGTCAACTGCCAGGTTGACAGCTTCCTTCCACTTTAATGTTTTAAAACTTCAGCAGGTAACACATGTTGCTTTGAGAAATTAAATCACTCAAGCAAAAAGAATTTCAGAAAACAATAAATTAAAAAAATCCATCTGTATTATATTTCAAATTTTGTATTAAAACAAATGTACTCATCGTAAATAAAATATGTTGTTCTTAAAAATACTTTTTTTTCCTACTCTCATTCCTGATAAAATTTGGATTACATGTTGTTATACGAAGTGTTTGTAATGCCATTGCAGCCTTTCTTCTCAGCAGATTCCTAAAGTAAACAGCAAATACCATTTTAAATTACTAATAGCATGGATTTAGTTGTGATGGTAGAAGTTGTAAATGAGAAGAGAAGTAATACTTTGTTAAAACTAACTGAAATAACTGGAAAAGTAGACACACTATCATGCACAATAGCCCTATTTCAGGTTACGTAAGAAGCTTGAAAGAGGGTTTAATTTTAAACCGGAATTTTTCTGCTTAATGAGGACAAGAACAAAATCTATTTTACTAGATAATCTCCTTGACTCAAAAGCTAGTACAAAGTTTCAGAATCAGGCTTCAACTAAAACAAATCACTGTTAAACCAATCACTACTTTTTATTTAATACCTATGTAATACTTAGTAGATTGCTACCAATAGCTTGTGATGAAAAGCTGCAGGCAGAATTTATTAGTGGATAACAAGCTGAATGCTTATTCATGTGTATTTAAAGTGGGCACATTCAAAGCATATTCTCATATATATGAAGTAAGAAGGAAAGAAAGTTCTAAATAAATTCTTCTGTTTAGACAGATAGCTACGAAATCAAAAGCCTACTTCCAAAACCAGTGTAATAAAGCCATAAAAGCATTGCTTTAACTGCACACACTGCGTCAGCAGCTCTTCAAAGACGTCTTTAATATTAATCAAACTGGTGGTAGAAAATTCAAAAGGAGACACACTAACCAGACGTTACAAACAGAACAATAAAATGTCTGAAGAGACAGGGGGAAAAAACAAACAACAAAACCAAAAACCTGAAGGGTTTCAAGGCTTTTCTAATCATTCTTTACGTTTTCATACCTGAGAAGAAATATCGATTCATTTGATTGACCATCAACTGCACTTTTTGGGCGCAATTCAGTCTGAGTTTCTACTGAAAAAGAGAATATGAACTTGCATTCAGAAGTTAAAAATAAATAAAACATAGCGAGTAAGATAGGCAAGATCGAAAAAATTCGCAGGACACAAAATAATTCAAAATCATGTAATGAATAATATTACCTATTTTGAAAGAATTGCTTCGTAGCTCATTATTTGCTCTTGAGGATGACAGGTTATCTAGATTTTTATGAGTATCCACTGGCTCTTTGGCACTCCAATACACAGATGACTCTGTGTCTTCACTGCTGTTTAATAAAAGATATTAATTACATAGATTTTAAAAAATGGCATCATATTCATTATTTGTTGCAATTATTAGTATATGATTTAGCTGTCATTCTCCAGATCAGCATACTATTATAATATGTGCTACATATACTTTTTATATTAGTAATGGCAATGATGAAAAATAAGTTTATAGCAAATGAGTTGGACAATATTAAAAATTCTCTAGCTCCCTCAGTAGAATTTGCATGAAAGAAACTACAAAAGCTAAATTATTTCTCCATAATACCAGATCTATAAAGAAATATTAAAAGCTTTAGAGACCTTTCAGTCTTCACAGGAAAAAGTCACAACAAACATATTTCTAATACTGAAGTCTGTAGCCTAGATTTAGATGAATAACAAAGTATCTTTTTTTTTTTGCTTAATGATTTACACGTCACACTTAATTGCAAGTTTATTGATTTTGGTTGTTTGGGTTTTTTTAATATACCTCTATTATTCACATGGAACTTTGTCATATAACTCTCCTGAAGGGTCTTCAGGATATCAAATATTAATCAAACTGTGAAAAAAATAAATACATAGGCCTCACAGTTGGAAAAGAAAAAGTACTGAGCTGCTTCTGCATATCCAGCCCATCTCCTGCGTTTGCTGTATTTGTCAATCAGTGCGTACCTCAGCAGATATTTCAGAGGCATTAGAAAACCCTCAAAAGTAAAAACAAATAGCCCAATATTTCATAGGAGATTAAGATTCTTCTGATTCTCTAAGAATTCGTCAAAGATGAGCACTGTGATGGAGGTTGAAATAAGTCTTGCTAAAACTTCGCAAAAATTCTCACTTTGTGGTATAAAGTTTACATATTGATTTCTTATCTGTCTTGGTGGTGAAAGCAGTATTAAAATTAAAAGACAAAGAGCTGTTTCTCAAACTAGAACAAGCATTAATAACAAAAATACTGCAGCACTGGTATAAGAAATAGGTATTAAACAAGAGAGAATTTTAAAGTAGAACACAAAAGAATTCAGAATTCTAAAGGAAAACTATTTTAACATAGTATCCTAGATAGGAATCTAAAGTATCTTCCCAATATTTAGAACAAAAGGACATAAAAATCAACTCTAAATATCCTAATTCAAAATTAAAAACCAAAACCAGCACGATAACTGAATATTTGAAGAAGTCTAATTTTTTATACATATAACCTATCATTCACAAAAGGTTTGGGTTTTTCTGCATATCTAGCAGTGTAGAGTATTACAAATTAAAAAAAAACACACAACACACTAGATTAATGCTTTATGTCATGAGCAAAGAATATGGGTCAGCTGCATTTGCAAGGATATAAGGCTGAACCACAAATCTAAGATGTTGTACTGACAGGCTTTGTGATGCTCTAAGCCTAATGCATAAAAACAAACAAAGAAATTCTTACTAGAGATAAAATTAACCCATGTTTATAAGATTCTACAAAAGCTTGTAGATTCACCAGTTAGTTAACAACATGAAAATCCTAAGCAAAATTCAAAACAAAAGCGCGAAAATTTACAGAAAACCATTACAAAAATACGTAAATATTTGCTCACTTAGATTTACTACACAAGAAGTCTTCCTTGAATGTTCGGTACCTTGAGCTTGTGCCCTGGCTGTCTGCAGAATCACCACCGCAATGGCTAAGGGATCCTTTCCAGAATGGATGCTGCAATACGTCTGTCCAGTTCAGCCTTTTGAAAAGCAACAAACAAACCAAAAAAGCAGTTGCAAAGTACAGCCCCACAGAGAGATACCAGACTTGGTTTTGAACCCAGTGACACTACAGAGCAATTAATCCTTTTGTTTGTGTTTATTTGGTCAACAAATAGGTTTTCTTACAGAATAAACTTTTTGCCTCAAATCAGAACGGATAATTCACACAACAAAGAGGCACAAAACTAAGAAAGAAGGAAACTGCATAGCCAATTCCAACATTTAAATCATCTAAGCTACCCTATAAATTGTTATCTTATGTTATTTAAAAATGTAACTATATTAGCTTAAAATCAAAGCCACATAAAACAGATTACTCTGGAAAAGCAAAGACATCCAATTTTAAAACTGCCCATCATTTCTGTTATAAAGTTGTCTATTTAGCACCAGCTACAAAAATACAAAGATACACTTAATCAAAACATTAATTCTGTATATTTTCATGTAAGAAAAAGTACAATTTGTTCTTTTATGAGGGATTAAATGATTTTGCATTCTTTGTACTCTATAAATTTACCATACACATAGTATCATTGCAATTATTTTTTCCAGAGGTGAAAAAAGACAACGTAAACAACTGTCATGGATTAGACTACCTTTTCTGAGGATCCTTTTGGAGCAAGCCATTAAGCAAACTAATGAACTCAGCAGAAGGTTTGTGAAAAGCAGAACCTGTAAACAGAAGCACTTGAGAAGAAAAGCATTGGGCAGCAAAAATAACCATCATACAATGCAGATCAAACCATTATTTACAGATCATGTTAAAAAAGTTAGCAAGAAATAAAGTGGAGTTGAAATCTGCTTAAATTAAAATTAAATTTCCCCAACCATGATAACGTTAAGAGGACCATTGTTGCACCCTATAATACAAGACGTTTCCAAAATTCTTATTTAACTGAGAAAGTCTCTACTTCTGAGAGCTCACAACTAGGAAATGCACTTTGTTCACTTTGAAAACAGAATCTCTCAGAATTGAAACAACTAACAACAGTTTTAATTCTACAGGTTGCCATTTTCATTACATTACTAGGGACTGAAAAGAGCCACTAATATTTAAGTGTCTTAATGAATAGCACTAATGCTCAGAATGACTGAAATCAAAGATTTTATCCCAGAAGATAGATTTACTTTTATTCTTAACACTAAATGATACACCTGCCTGTCAAAAGATAAATAAGCATTCATTATTAACAGGGGAAAAGTTCTTATCACAAGAAGGCAATGCTAACATTCACTTTGGACAGCAAACTGATTCCTACAATCAACCTCAAAAGAAATACTGCAAAATAAAACTTTAATTTTGTAAGTATTACTCTGATTTGATTCCTTAAACAATAACAGAATGTTACCCTCTGATCTAGGTGGCAATGGATCTTCATATAAAATCTTTTCAATTGATTCGGAAAAGCTGTCTGAAAAGAATGGTGGTCTTCCTACAAACAAACAGAGTGTATATCACAGATTAGGTAAACTTCAAAACGGCTGTCAGGTGCAATGATATTTGATAAGCTCATTTTCCTAAGGAAACATCCGAAGAAATAAGCACCCTCAGCCTGAATTCTATTTATCAAGTTCTCTTGTCAATTGAAATACAAAACCTTGGATTAAACTCTTCTACCATGAACAGCAAAAGAGAGTAAGGATAGAACAGAAACCAAAAATGGTTTGATGAAGGTCACCATGACAGCCCTGTACGATCAGCAATGAGACTACAGGAGAAGGTCTAGGCAGAAGTCCCAATATCTATGTAACTATGTTGATCCAACAGATCAGTGTATTAGGACTTCAGAAGGTTGCACTGTAATTCTCTTTTGTGATGAAATTTTCCTTCCAGCTGCAGCCATGCTAACAGATACCTTATCTGCAGGAAAGGTAATGACTCTACTTTCATACTAGTGAAATAGTTTGGCCTTTGGAAATGGAAACTAATGCACTCAGGTTTAATACCGAGGCAATTAAAAACATTACACTACCAGAATTTGAGGATGTTATAACTTTAAATCACAGTATATAAGGAATAGAGGTTGCTTAGTATTAAAATACTTAGATGACAGACAAAAGGACAACCTGATAGTATTACTTCACTTGATTATTTGATAAAACTCCCTTTTCTTTTTTTTTTTTAAGTACAATTAGTATATTCTTCAAGAAATTTTTAAAACCTACCAAAAGTTTTTCTATGTCTTATCTTCACTAGAAAGTTAACAAGAATTTTCTCTGAGACCACGACCCATGTCCCCATTATCACAGATATTAAATAGATACACAAACTTACAACCTGAGAACATTTCATAAAGTAAACATCCCAAGGACCACAGATCACTGGCTTTGGAGAAGTCTTCTCCCTTTATTGCTTCTGGAGCTGTGTATAATGGAGAGCCTACAAAATACAGTATGTATAATGCACTTTGATTATTCATTCAGCATGTATTCTGTTCAACACTTCAAAGTTTGTCTCCACACTTCAGTGAGTTAGGGATTATCTTCACTTAGTATGAGAAAACTGAGACACTAAATGTAAATAGTTTCAAAGGAACTTCTCTCCTACACTTTTACTGAATTACGTAGGATTATAGATGCTATTTTGTTGTTTATTTCACTTCTATTAAGCAGGCTGGCTTGTGCTACACTTTTCTAACACAGTGATTAATGCAAAGCGTGTTTTGATATACCTTGACAGCTTCCACAGCAAAGTAAATTGAGTAGAATGGTAAACCAACGTATTTCTCATGTGAGTAACAGAAATAACTACATCACATCAGCTTTGGGGCTTTGTTTATTTGTTGGCTGTGGTTTTTTTTTTTTAAGGCTACCCCAAGACATAAACCTTCATGATATTAGAAAACTCTTGTTACAAAAACAAGGTAGCTAGCCAGCTGGATCACTAAACTAAACTAGTTACAACTATTTTCACACTAAAACACTATGAAAACATCAAATATCAAATTATAGCAGCTTATTCACAAACTCCCTTCTGTCTTGATATAGAAAAGAAATACACAGTTCCTATTTCCACAGTAGTTCCCACCTAAATAACTAGTTCTCAAAAATCTCTAAAAAAAATACACAAACTCAGCAAAAACATCAATTCCACTGTCCTTTAAAAAGCTTATTTTGGATTCTTTTGTTCTTGGGTTTTATTTTTTAAGTGACAAAAGGTCATTAACTATACACATCAAAACAGCTGTTCTGAAAAGTAACAGGAAAGAGATCAGATTTGTATTTCTTCCTGAATAAAGATCTGGTCTTGGTCTTAGTATTTCCAGCATGGACTTTCTTTGCAGCAGGAGACTGCGAAGTATTAAGTGCTATTTGTTCCTATAATTGGTCAGTTGCCAAATGGAGCTGCTCTGGAGCCGGCCCGATCTGCAAAGGAGCAGCAGATCTTGGCGAACAGTGGCTTTTTCTGAAAAAGGGAAACGCCAGGGGAGCGAAGAAACTCTCCAGGAGCTGGTAGCTCTCACAGGAGACGCTGACGTGGCCTGGGCATTGCCAGAGCAATGGCAGCCACCCTCGTACCTACAAAAAGCAGCCCAGGGAGCGGTAGCGACCACAGCGTCGTGCATCGGTTTGCACAGAAGGGCACACAGTGAAGGCACAATCACCCTACCAGCTCAAGAGGTGAGTTTAACTGGTCGTCATCACCCTCTCAGAAGGAGCTTCGCTACTGTATCCACCTGGATAAGCTAAGTCCGCTGCACTGGGCAGAATGGATGTGGCAACCCAGACAGAGCTCTCATGAAAACATGCAGCCGGCCAGATCTTGGGCTGCAGGGAATGCCAGAGCCACTCAATGGCAAGGGATGGCAGTAGTGAGAACAACTGTCTGAGGTGTGACCAGGTGGATGATCTGCTCAGCATGGTGGCGCAGCTGCAAGAGGAAGTAGAAAGGTTAAGAAGCATCAGGGAATCTGAAAAAGAGAGAGACTGGTAGTCTTACACTCTGTCCTTCCTGAGACAGAAACAGGAACAGCCAACAGAAAAGAAAAAACAAGATCAAGGGGATCCTGTATTGTTCCCCCCACCAGGCTGAAGGCAGAAGCTTAAAGGAAAGGAGCGAATGGAGGCATGTCTGTGCTCAGGGCAGCAGGGAAACACCCTCCTTGCCCACCTTGCTTCCCAGGTGCCTCTGTACAACAGGTATGAAGGTCTGTATGTAGAAGGCCTGTTGACAGATGATGTAGATGACAGTCCATCCACAACAGAGGCGTTGCCAGGGGCAGAAAGATCTACCCCTTGTATCACGACCACCTCCACGAGGAAGAAAAGATGGGTTATAGTTGTAGGCGACTCCCTTCTGAGAGAAACAGAGAGTCCAATATGCCGGACAAATCCTCATCTTAGGGAAGTCTGCTGCTTCCCTGGGGCCTCTGTCAAGGACGTCGCTAGGAAACTTCCTAGCCTGGTACGGCCCTCGGACTATTACCCATTATTGCTCTTCCATGTGGGTGGTGATGAAGCCGCAATACGTAGTCCAAGGGTAATCAAAAGAGACTTCAGAGCCTTGGGATGGTTGGTAAGGGAATCTGGAGCACAGGTTATTTTTTTCCTCTCTCGTTGCAGTTACAGGCAGCAACATTGGAAGAGACAGACATGCCCAGTCTATTAATAAACAGCTCCATGGCTGGTGTCACCGCTAAAATTTTGGCATTTTCAATAACGGGATGGCCTACACAGCACCAGGCTTGCCGCCGCCAGATGGGATTCACCCTTCTCAAAGCAGGACACGGATCTTTGCATATCAGCTAGTGGGGCTCATTGACAGGGCTTTAAACTACACTTTAAGAGGGATGGGGATATTATCAGGCTTGATCAAGACAAGCTGAGAGCACCTGAAGAGCATCAGAAAGGAATTCCAGCCAGTTAAGTCAGTTTCATCACGGACCTAACTTAAATGCCCCTATGCGAACGCACAGAGCATAGGAAATAAACAGGAGGAGTTGGAGGTGTGTGCGTGTCTATAGGGCTACATAAGTGAATTCTACTACTCACACTTAGCTGATGATATTTGAAATTAATTAAGGACCAAAGGTATTTTTCACAGGGTTTTTCTTTCCACCATAGTTTTCATCAAACAGTAATTAATAACTAAGCCTCCTCAGCAAATCCAAACCAAGAACTAACATTTTTAATTAATTAGCTACCTTGAAATATTTCAAATCTCACTCTTATAGCCAATTTGGGTGGGTTCTTTTTTTTCGTTTGGGGGTTTGGGTTTTTTTAATTCTTGAAATTTTGCTTCTATTTTTTTCTACACAGAAAAATTAAGATTATTTTACAAAATAGTGAAAACATGCTCAGGATAGATAGACAGTTTGTACATTAAACTGTACTGTAGGGATTTGATGTCAAGATGCAAAAAGAAATTTAAAACAAGCCACCTCCAGTTATGTTATGCTGAAAGTTTGTTATAGAAGCATACTACAGTCTATAATCACCTACATAAGAGCTTCAATCTAAAAATAACCTGGAGTCTATCTACAAAAAGCAGGAAAGGTCAGGAATTGCTAATATGTCATACATTTGGTGTAAGACAGAAGTAGTATATTTTTCCAACTCTTAGTTAAACTGGCTTTGTGAAACTTAGAATTATTACCATTTAAGTAAAATTTCTTTTCTTTCTACTCACTTGCATGTGTTGTTCCTTCTGTAAGTTGTGATCTCTTTGAACAATCTTCCTTAAGAGCAAAATTTTGTTTTGAACTTACTTAAAAAATTCCCCATGTGCAGGGGAATTGTGCTTACAGAAAACATACAGATCATAGTTTCCATTGCAAAGACACAAGCAAACACATTAATCTTTACAAATGATAACACAACAGAATTAATTATTCTGTTTCTCTAGAAATTTAGTCAGCCCCAACAGACTGATGAACAACTACTTTATTTCAAGGTCTTCTCTCCAAACTACTTCAAACAAAGGCTTTTTCCAACTTTCATTCTGTCCCTTTGGTATACGTTACTTTTGACTAGTAAAAATATTATACCTCTAAATCTGTTTTTCAGGTATCTTTGTGGAGTGCTTTCACTGACATCTCTTTCACCTTCTTCAGATCCAACCAAAGCAAAAAACTCTTCCAAGTTTTCACCATCCACTTTAGCCAAGCAAAAATTACTGAATTTCAAAGTGCCAGGCCCTTCCAGCAGAATCTAGAAAAATAAACATAATCCAACATACAAGTATCACATACTAAAATTGATGACTGCTGAAATTTCCAGTACAAAGTATAAAATAATTTTTTAAAAAAAATCCACCACAATCTCAAATCATTTAAGTACATAGAGATAATCACTGTAATCGAAACATTGAAAAGTTTTTCTTTTAAGACAACACTCTCTTTATTCTTATAACCAAAAAATTACAGAATTTCACAATAGAACCCTTAAGAGGTTTAATGTGCACTTTTGTTTCCTCATTACTAAATCTAAATGAAAAACGATGCTACTATAGAAAAGAAAGTTGAAGTAGAATAAAACTGTATAGAAAAATAAAAGTGCAGTTAAAAGAAACATCACTTTGAGGGGAAAAAAGTGGATCTTTCTAATTTTATTTAGCAGAAAATTCCTAAGATTTTGTCCAATGATCATGAGAGTTTTCTCTATGTGGTCACTGCTTATTCTCATAACTAAAAGCTTCAAAATCCTGAAAATGTTGTTTGGAGAAATAGCCCATTCAGTCAGATGGGGGGGAGGGGGGGGGAAGCAGACTGCCTTTAGCACTCTGTATTTTGTGTTCAAAGCAATACTTTACAGCTACATTCTTCTTTGAAAGAATACAGAGGCATCTCCATTATGCTTTATTCATACATTTTTTTACTGCTTTTGGACCCACAAGTGACAGAAGCATAGTATAGTTGTGCATGATTTTACGGAAAATTCAGAGAAGGGCAACTTGATCATTTACAGATCAAGACAAAAAACAACTGTTGTTAAGCAAGAATTTTTGGTTATAGTCATATTCTGGTTACTATGTAACTTACAAATGAACATGGACTTCCACAAAACTATACATAAATTCCACACACATACACAGATCAGAAACTACTTAAGGATTTTTAAGTAATTTAAATGGCATTTGGAAACAATACAAAAGGTTAGTAACGAAGAAAGTTTAGTTAACTTTACTCCCTCATTAGCAATTTCTATGACTTCACAATATTCTGCAGCGTGACAGAACAGGTATAATAATGAAGTTATATGTCCGAGGACAGAGAACTAAAATCCTTTATTAATTCAAACCTGTACACCAAATCAGAGAGAACCTATCACATTTTACCGAATACACAACAGAGAGAGAAATCAACTAGATCATAAAATATTCAAGCTATAGACTTGTCTCTCACTGCCTTCACATACATTGTAAAGCTTAACTGGACTCCAGTCTGAGGTAAGCCTCTTCCAAACAGTAAAAGAGAAAAAATGAATTAAACATTGATGGCATACAAAGTAACATACAGTGTCCCCTATAAATAATACTCCTCCTTACCTTTCCAGGCGTCAGTTCGCAAAATATAATTCCAAGCTTATGAATATGGTATAAACCAGTAATCAAATCAACACCAAATTCTCTCACTACATCTTCAGGTAGATGTTCGTCTTGAGCGATAACAGATTCTAGAGAACCTCCTGAAATATGTTTACACACAGTCAGCAAACGTATATAAAGAAGATGCCATGCAAATAAGTCCCAAGAACTTTGTATAAATTCTCAAAAGATGTCAAGCCAAAACCATTATCAGTAGATAAAAATATTTCTTGAGATTATCCAATAATTAAAAAGTCCAAAATGTACAGAAAAAATAATCTATTTCCAACACTGTGACAAAAATCTTAATTTTTAATACAATTAAATCGAGTGCATGACTTCAAAATTACTTTAATATTGTTTTATTTTACAAAGGAAACAGAAGGGAAAAAAGAAACGCAGAAAATGTTTCACGTCAACAATGTCATAGTATCCAATGGGTTTATTCAAACTCCTTAACCAGATCCCTGCTGCACGAGTTAGAAGAATAAAAAATACCAAGCACAGGCTATCAACTTCTGTGAACAAGTGCTAAAGCTACGACATGCAATTTTCCACTGAATGCAAAGACAACAGAAATATTAAAACCAGGTTACATTCTCTTGAGGCCAACAACATCCAACAGATAAATTATTTTGTTTGTTCTTCACTCATGGTATTCCTGTACAGTCCTTCTCTTGACTCCTGTGCCCCAGTTCTTTCATTTTCATCCCTTCCTGTCTCTCTTTTCTTTTTTTCAAGAAAAAAAAGAATTAAAAAAAAAAACCAACCACAAAATAAAACAAAAATATCCAGGACTAAACTTTCATTTTCCAGGTTTCGCACACAAATCCCATCTTCCTGGCCCAGCAAGTCCTACTCGTACCTCTTCAGACTTCTCATCCTAACATGAGACTCTTCTCCGTCCTTCCAAAATCAACACACTACTCCATTAAGTTCCAACCAACTTTCCCTCTGCTTCTGATCAGATTACACCTACAAAGCCTTCCAAATAACCCTCATGTACATCCCCTATCACCTGTGTCCTCCCCTCGACTTCACATTCACTCTCTACGCTTTCCCCCACTGATTGTTACACTTTCTCTGTCCTCACAAAAATCTCTCTTCCTCTCCCATCACCTACTCCCTCACATCCCTCTGATTCTCAGGTATGTCTTCAGACTCATCTCATTTGAGCCGTTCCTGTCCTAATGGTTGGACTTCTAATCTTCTTTCCCACAAACTCTTTGCTCAGTCTTTCTCCTCCTTCCCACCCCAGTCTCCTATCCTAAACTCCACATTCCCATCTCTCCTAAAATCCTTTTCCTCAACCTCATTTGGTCCTTTACAACTCCTACACCAAACCTGTTCCCCTAAGACTACAGTTTCTATTTTGTGATTTATCTACGGGTTTCCTTGGTTATCTATTATTTATATCTTAGCCTAATCATGCAGATGAAAAAAAACATTAAAAAAGAGACACACAAATATTAAGTCTCTGAATGAAAACGGGGATTAGGAGAGCTTTTCATAGAAACGGATACTAGACCTTTTATTCCAAATCACATAATAGATTTTCCTGAGCTTTTTTCCCTTTGCTTAGTAATTTCTTTCATAGACTAGCAAGACTAAAAGGCCTGTCATCACAGCATTCTTCAAATTATTCAACACTGTTGAATCTTAAAATTATTCTCTTTCTAAGCCTTTCTTATGCTGTTTAGTAAATCAGTCATTCCTTTAAAACCAAGCCCACATTACACAGCTATAATAAAGAATTTCCTATCATGTTTGATTACTGGTTTTATAATGTATTTTACAGGACTACAAAGAGAATAATTCCATAGTGTGACTAAATATACAAAGAAAAAAAAAAATGAAACCAGCAGCACAGAAGTATGCTGCATCTGATAACAGAAAGTCACTTTGTCATTTTGAGACAAGTGAGAGAGATCTTCCATATTTCAAACCCAGTTTTCAAGGCTCTACAAAATTAGTAAGAAATCCATGTCTTGTTCTATGTATAAGTAAACTAGCTTCAAGGCACTCTCCTTGCAGCAAACTGCAACATTGCAAGGCAAAAACACATTATAATTGTTCAAGCTGTACTGAATAAAAGGCTGCTTGTCTAATAACTAAATATGTGCCCTTAAGTTGGACTAAGAAATAGACGAAAGCCTCTACATAAGCCATGAACTTTGCCTTTACTCATTGAAAGAATGACCTCATTTTTTTTCCAGAACCTGTAGCTTCTCTTCTTCAGTAATTTTTGAAACAGAATTCTGGATAGAAGAAAAGGCTGAGTGTAATATGGACTTGTACTATAAAACAAACTCCAGATACCAAAATCTTAACATGCACCACTTGCACAACTGGCCTTCTTGTCTTTCCGCGTGGAGCAAAGCACACTATCTGGAGTTTAAAGCATGCAGTCATCGCGATGAGAAAAAACTTTCAAAGATTTCTTCAATAGATTGATGAGAACCTATCAAAACTCAGTGAGTCGCTTAATGCAGACCTGAGTCCTAAGAGCTCCCAAATCAACGTCTTAATATAAAAGTCAAAGTGCTTCTGCTGAATATGAAGAAAATTCATATAATTTACTATTAGCTACAGAATTTCCCTTTGATTAAAAAAATTCATTTGAACAACATTAAGTCATTTGTACATTATGACTTGATTTGCTCCTTGGTCTCTTTATTATTGTGTGCTATAAAATTAAAAGAGAATGCCAAAGCTGCCAGTCCTTAGAAAACTCTTCCCAAGTAATTTTTACTTAGCTGCCTTCCAACCACTCACAAGTTCCCCTGATTAGCCCTATCTTTTCAGCTATTAAAAACCAACATTATATCACATCAATCAGCGTTTAACATACATGTACAGTGAAGTAGAGGAGAGATATAACTTCAATCGATTTCTAAAAGTGTTTCCAAAAGCAAAAACATTTTTACATATAAATAGGATTCTCAAGTTCATAATCAGATAATTATTCAGCTTTTTCAAAGATCTAAGTATTTGTTGTGGAGAAACTGTCATAAGGAATATCTTACAAATACTCACTCTATAATAAATTTTTATCTTTTGAGCTTATCTTACCTGTGCATAATTCCACCACAAGCCAGAGATGGTTGCTTGTTTCATACCATTCATGAAACGTCACTATATTCTTGTGTCTGATTTCATGAGTCAGACGAACCTACAACAAAGTTTTTCACATACTTAACTGGGGGGAAAAGGAAGCAACATGTAAGCATTTATGGCAGGGGGAAGAGACAACACAACTTTACTCTAGAACACCTGTTTGTCCTCTTACCTTTTCCAGTGCACTACAATTATTCTCCAATTCAAATATTTAAGTTTTACATGTATTCTGAGGAAATATAACTTTCTTTACAGACCTTGCCCAACTCATCTATTTTAAAAATATAGGGGGGGAGGGAAGTTCCTAAACCCAAAACCATAAGCACTATTTAACTTTCCTGTATCCTAAAAAAATAACAAACTGGAAATCAGAATTTGCAGTCAAACTTGCATTCCTACTTTCTTTTTCAATGAGAACACAAATGTGAGATAATACGTTGAATACAGTAAGAAGAAGTAAAGATAAATTTTTCCTTCATTCTTAATCTTATCAGGCAAAAGCAATAATTCAAGGGTTCCTGGAAATCTGTATTTCTATCACATCTACATGGTCTAATCTCTATAGAAGCATCTCTATCTTGTCAGAGTGATATGTCAGGTACCCTCAAGGGCTTTCTAAGACAAATATGCTTCTAAGATGTTTAATCACCCAATAAATTATCATTGAAACAATGAGAGGGAATATCAAATTGTACTGGGTTTGCATGGCAAGGTTTTGGTAGCAAGGGAGCTACAGTGTCAGCTTCTGTGAGAAGTTTCTAGAAGCTTCTCTCATGTCTGACAGAGCCAATGCCAGCCAGCTCCAAGATGGACCTGTCACTGGCCAAGGCTGAGCCAATCAGTGATGGTGGTAGAGCCTCTGTGATAATACATTTAAGAAGGAGGTGGGGGAAAACTGCTGGAGAACAGCCTCCAGAGGAGAGGAGTGAGAATATGAGACATAAACAACTCTGCAAACACCAAGGTCAGTGAAGGATCAGAAGGGAGTAGGTACTCCAGGCACCGGAGCAGAGATTCCCCTACAGCCCATGGACGTCCATGCTGGAGCAGCTGGATGTACCCAAAGGAGGCTGTGATCCCATGGAGAGCCTGCACTGGAGCAGGCACCATGCTAGAGCAGGTTTGCTGGCAGGACTTGTGACCCCATGGAGGATCCATGCTGGAGCAGTCTGTTCCTGAAGGATTGCTCTCTGTACAAAGGACCCATGCTGAATCAGTTCTTTAAAAACTGCAGCCTACGGGAAGGACTCGTGTTGGAAGAGTTCATGGTGGACTATCTCCTGTGGGAGGGACCCCATGCTGGAGCAGGGGAAGAGTGTGAGGAGTCCTCCCTCTGAGGAGGAAGGAGCAGCAGAAACAACATGTGATGAACTGGCTGCAACCCCAATTCCCCCTCCCTCTGCGCTGCTTGCGGGGAAGAGGTAGAAGAATCGGGGGTGAAGCTGAGCCTGAGAAGAAGGGAGAGGTGGAGGGAAGGCATTTTAAGACTTAGTTTTATTTCTCATTATCCTTCTCTGATTTGATTGGTAGTAAGTTAAACTAATTTCCCCAAGTTGAGTCTGTTTTGCCCATGACAGTAATTGGTGAGTGATCTCCCTGCCTTTCTTTCAATGCACCAACATTTTGTTATATTTTCCCTTCCTTCTTCAGCTGAGGAGAAGGAGTGATAGAGCAGCTTGGTGCGCACTTGGCATCCAGTCCAGGTTAACCCACCACAGAAACAAAATTTATCTACTGGAAAAATAATATATTTGAAATGTCTAACTATATCAAGCTGAGAGAGTTGGGGCTGTTCAGCCTGGAGAAGAGAAGGCTCCAGGGTGATCTTATTGCAGCCCTCCAGTACTTAAAGGGGGCCTACAGGAAAGCTGGAGAGGGACTTTTTTACAAGGGCGTGTAGTGATAGGACAAGGGGCAATGGATTTAAACTGAAAGGGGGCAGATGTAGATTAGATATAAGGAAGAAATTTTTCACTCAGAGGGTTGTGAGGCACTGGAACAGGTTGCCTAGAGAAGTTGTGGATGCCCCATCCCTGGAAGTGTTCAAGGCCAGGTTGGATGAGGTTTTGAGCAACCTGGTGTAGTGGAGGGTTTCCCTGCCCATGGCAAGGAGGTTGGAACCAGATGATCTTTGAGGTCCCTTCCAACCCTAACCATTCTATGATTCTATGATCAGTTACAGTTTCTTTTCCATAAAGTATTATATGTCTAAAGCTTTGCCAAGCTTTTACCAACCAGAACTGATTTACCTGAAATGCTATTCCTTCATCAAAAATAATTTTTTCTTGGTAAGTAAGAAACTGATTATTTACTGGAAGGTATTTCTACAACTGGACTTGCACAACTGATAACAAAATAAAGCAAACTACTACATGCAAGTAACAGTTTTTACAAGTTCTAACATATCATAGAAACAGTAAGCCTGTAAATATGGGTTTATGCATGTGATTTAGCAACTATAAAATCAGATGAAGAAATAAATACATTAAAATAAGACTCTATGTAAAGTATAAGACTATAAAATCTTAAGAAGCTGATCTAAATGTTGACAAACTCCATGTAAAGAAGCACATGGTATTTTTCTTTCATATTGCCTGTGCTACGAGGATTTTGTAAACTGTCCTAGATTTAGCAGGAAAAAAAAAATTACTTACCCAGTTTGTTATTTCAGCTCTTTTGCATTTATCAGTGCAAAGAACAGCAACAAAATTAATTGTCCCTTTTCGTCTTCCTTTATAAACAACTGTCTTATCTCCTCTTCCAATTTCCTCATATAGAATGAAGTTCTCCATACTTAAGGATGCTTTACAGGCAATGGATTGGAAACATGGTACTAGTCTCATAAATAATCAAACCTTTAAAGAAAGCGGGAGGGGGGGAAGCATTCAAATTTAATAGTCATTGATGCATAAGATTTACCTTCCTAGTCTAAAAATGGGGATTATATACTTCAAAATTTTGAAGAGAAGATAGTATTCTCCCCTTCCAAAGCTCTTAATACATTCAAAAAGTTACAGATGGGCCAGTAGCTACAAATTCTAAATATTTTTTGTATGTGTGTATGTAAATAAAAATCATACTACCAAACTTGAAATTCTATGTTCTACATAAAACTGCTATCCAAATGAAAATAGTCCATACTGAAAGCCTTGCCAAACAAGATTGCTATTTCTGCCCAAGGGCACTTCAGGCAAACGTGCCCCTGCAACTTTTCACAATGTAATTTAAACCTGTCAAATAACTGATTTAATCAACATAACTGAAAACCACAGAACTTTGTGACTATTACTGTTCTATCAACGCCAAGCTAAACGTAGCTTTACCAGTTATAGAACTCAGCATTAAGGATCTTTCACAGATAGAAACAATTCCTTGCAGAAAGAAGCTGTGTAAATTTGTTGGCCAATGTTATATTGCGGGAATCAGGGAGTCCCACAGAAATTTGATTTATATTTGTAACTATCATTTTTGTCTCAAGAATTATATATGCTTTAATCTACATACTGAAACAAAGTAAATGATTGTCATTTGTTGCAAACCCAGGAAGTGGCATTTGTACATTTAAATACTGAGATGCTCTTCATAAAAGTCCGACTAATTCTTTTGTTCCACAATTATTTTCTCAGAGAATATTTGGAGCAATGGGAGAACTGACAGCAAAATATTGAAGCAACTGTAATACATGAAGTAAGAGTTCTGCATCAGCTTTCCATCCTGCTCCTTGGCTATTCCACTGGGTTAAGAGCATGGACACACAGAATCCCAATACCAGCATATTCCAGAAATAACTTATATTGTTAACTAGTGCCCAGTAACCACCTTGTAGTAGTCCTTCCAGCTGCAGGACAACTTCACATCTGATGCCCAGTTCTTCTAACTCCAAATTTAATTAGTTCCAAGCCATTTGGAGCTGCTCTCTCTCATCTCTACACAACTTCTTCCATTTTGTTTATAAAATTTTTGGGTTTTATTCAACAAGACCGGTTCTCAATGTAGTTATCCTAAAACCATAGAAAAACAGCATATTGGAGACAATAGTGCAGCAACAGGAGTGTTCAGCAAGGATGGAGAGGAAGGGCTGCTTAAGTAGTACAGCTGCCAATTGCCTAATCACAACAAGCTCAATTTCACTTTACCTCTTTCAAGACACATGACGCTCCCAGACTGACAAATCAAAGACCAAAATGAAAACTAGAGAATTCCCAAGTTTTCAGACAGGACATCACATAAAAATACAACAAAGCATTGGGCAGCAGCAGACAACAAAATGTCTGTCACTAAAATACTGTTCTTGCCAGAACATCAGACAGGTGTCAAACACAACTCAGATGATCCAGAATTTTCAACATATATAGGAACCTCGTAATTCCAGGACTTCCTTTACCAAAGATAGTTCTCCAAGACAGAAGATTTCTTCCCAAAAGAAGAAAGAATATCACTGTTACAATTCAGAGGCCTTGGGACTAGTGCTGTAAATTAGTTTGATTTTATTGAGCACTAAGCAAACAGGTTGGTACAGCCAGTGTAACATAGGAATGCATTTTTTTTCTACAGTTATCTATGAGAACAAGGTAGATATACAACAATCCATTTGCCAAACATTCCAAAATAAGGCACAAAGATACAGCATCAGAACAGATGGGGTTCTCCGTATCCCTATCTCTCTTTTCTGATTCATGCATATTATTGCACCATTCTTTATAGTCTTTTTCTGGACAGCTTAAAAAAGCAAACAAACAAAACCACTAAAAAAAAAAAAAAGAACAACAAACATGTCTTCCTCTACTACACAAAGATCCCAGAACAGCAACGCCATAGAAATATATCCAGCAAAAGAGATGTCCAATCCACAGTCCAGCCCTCAAAATTTACATGACCACAGCCCTCTCCTTACATTTCTTCTTTCTCAAGAGTACTTCGAATCTGACATGTGCACCTCATCACAAGCCTAAAGCATATATATATTAGATGACGGAAAATACCTTCGTGTTGGTCTTGTGAAAGGCATTATCACCCACTCATACAACAAACCATCCAAACGCATGCGGGGCTCAATGACAAGTACAGAAATATCTGGTTATCTGACAAAAGCAAGACTAATGACATGCAAGCACGCACTAGGACAGAGTAGTCATGGGACAGAGAAGCGTTCATTGCTACCTCATGACTGGCATTACTTGCAAATGTCTCCATTAGCTGCTCTGCAAGAGATTACAGGGAAAAGAGAAGCATCCAGTCTTGTATCTCTGAATCTGAACAGTAACGGTTATGCCACCATTTCAGTACGCAAACCAATGGAGCATGACCCATGAAACAGACTGTCAACTGCTGAAGCACATTCATTGGTTTTGAATTAAAGTGCAAAGAAATCAAATAAAGCGACGTGAAAAGAAGTATCTCAAGACAAGAGAGCTGCCATGGAAGCCTGCCACACCACCACCAGCAACAAAACAAGTCTGAAACCCCACAGCAGCACCTAAAGCAGCAGACTTCAGATGCTAAAGGAACCACGTTTGCTCTGGGCACGAAACAGGATCACAATGCCAAGGAGACATGGTTCCAGAAGCATTTCTTCCTTCTCTTGGTGAAAGAAGAGCCAGGACGCTCTGAAGGGAGCAGCACGCGCAACACCTGGGATCTCCTGCAGCCAAAGCTCTGTCTCAGGAGC